ATGTGACATACCATGAGATTCGGACATCTTTAGGCATAGGCATGAGTTAAATACAATCAATACTAGGAGGCTCAAAAAACGGATTGCGTCAATTGGTGCAATGCCATGCTTACCAGATTCAAAGAAGGGGCATCAAATTTGGTGTGGAACATAGTAACAGTTGACGAAACATAGATTTACAGTTACTATCCCAAAAGAAAGCAGCAATCGAGCGTATAGGTCTTTTGAGATCAGCCGAAACCAACACAAAGTGGCGCGCGCGCAGAGTGCCTCTAAGCGGATGATTGCTTCTTTTTTTTAATAAAACTGGACACGTGGCTATTGCTGCTTTGGATTATCGTTGAACCGTGAATAGTGACTGGTACACGATCATTTGTTTGTCGGAAGCTATTGACAAACTCCGTAAAAATAACCGTAAACGCCGTATCATCTTGCACCACGATAATGCCAGTTCTTACAAGGTCAGACAGAGAAATTAATTTTTGAAGGTAAACAACGTTTACCTTATGAGTCATTCCGCGTAGAGTCCCGACCTGGCACCCTGTGACTTTTTATTTATTTCCAAAAATTAAGAACCAGTTACGCGGTCAACGATTTTCATCATGAAGAGGTTGTCGAGGAGTATGAAAAATATGTTTCAGAGATTGTAACGGAGGAGTGGAATAAATGTTTTCAAAATTGGTTCATTCGTATGAATTAACGCTAACGGAGAATATTTTGAGAAACAATAAATTCATTTCTGACCATTTATAGTATTTTTTTCTCATTCATTCCGGAAACTTATAGTGCACCCTACGTAATTTATATTCGTTTAATTTCTACTCGTTCATAAAAATAACTTTTATTATTGCAATTCCTTTCCATTCGCGAATAAATACACCAAATTAATATTCCTTACATTTTCGTAAAGTTTTTGAACCTTAATTTAGCTCTGTGTTACTTTGCCCTGTAATTCCTTCTACGTTTCTCTTTAGTTCTCTGATCCACCTTGACCTTTCCTTGTATCTAGTGCACGTAGCTAATTCCCTCGCTTACTAGCGTCTTTTCCTCCAGTCATCTTTTATGGTTTACTACATCATTTCGGAGCATGTTTCGGTTAATTACATTTCATCTATGCCGATTCATCGTTTACTTAGGCCAGTAATAATAAAGCATCGAGGGATCGATTATAAAATCTTACTTAAGTCAACCATTTTCATTGAATATGCTTGAGTTAACATCGACGATTTCTTATTGATTACGCTCTAATGGCGTGTTTATACAGGGTCTATTCGGTAGACTACTTAAACTTCATCTTGTGCTGTGTCTATCGCGACGAAGCCATGCGTGCCGAAGCTTTGTATGTTTTGCTTGCGAAAAAGTTATCGGCGCTAATGTAGTGGTACTATCAGCGGCTTCGTAATTTTAAACGAATTGTCGTGTTCAAGATGGCCGCGATACAATTTCCAGACGTCAAAACAACTGACGATAAAACACGGACGACTTTTTGAAGTTCTACATTGTGTGATAACAATTACTTTAAGCATTTATTGAAAGTTAAAAAGAAATAATGCCCGATTTTTAACTAGCTACTTCAGATTTCTTCTCTTCGACACCTGTTTAATTTTTTTAAATAATACTAAGGAACGGGATGGACAGGTCGTGTGCTGGTGGTAAGCGACAGCCCTGTCCATAACAGTTGCAGTGCCACTCAGAGCTTTAAATCACAAAGATCTGAGGGGCACTGCCACTGCGACCGACACCCTGAGACAAGTTGAAAGCTGTGCCTGTAATTTCACCAGCACTCATAACCCTTCAAATCCGGAACTCAGTAATGCTCACAGTACTGCTTGGCGACAGAAATAGGTAAGATGCCAGCAGTACTTCCCTGGACGAATTCTTTCACAAGGAGCTCTACTGCTACTAAATGAATGAATTTTCAAACGACGCCATGCATCAGCAACCAAATGATTGTTTTTATATAGTGGTAATTTTTTGGTGATCATATTATGATAATAATAATAATAATAATAACGCTCACACTCAACATAGCCCCGCACTAGGGAAACCCTGTGTCGCGGGTGCCATGGACACACACATAGACAACCACAAATTACACCCAAACTCACGAGAGAAATAAATGTAGGCCATACAAATATTTCTCCCAGCCCGGGAATCGAACCTGGGACCTCTGCGTGGCAGTCCGGCATGGTAACCGTTCGGCCACGGAGGCAGTTAAATGATGGGTTCATCTTCGAAATTGTATAAACATCTAACATGATTTCACCTCTTCACCGAGCATCTAATCAGTCCGAGAACAACATTCGAAAAAAGCAGCTTTAGTCCGACCATGCATCACGATGTTTAACGTTATAAAAACCCTTTAATGTACCGCCACCCGAGCGATAACTTGTACTCAGCCCGAACATTCGCGACGATAGCCGAAGATGGTTGGTTATGTTATACCTGCGTGTATCGTATCACAGTGCGAAGCTTGGCGACGATAGACACTAGTGTGGCCCCGGCACCCTAACATTACCGAAAAAGGCGCTGTCGACTCTCTGGAGCTCTGTCACTCGCTCGAGGTTTTTTTTTATAATATCAAGGCACGGGACGGACAAGTCGTGCGATAAGTGCCTACCACCGAGTGTACCGCCGACCGCTCAAACGCTCAGACAAGTCTTTCATTTATATTATAATCCTTGTACAACCTCAGCATTCGGTTCCGCACGACTGCACACAGCGAGCAATTTTATTTTCACCTCTCTGAGCGCGCACTTAGGTTCCTTTTTCCACGTATTGAGCGCCTGATATCATTAGTCAGATTTAGTAGGCTATTATATAGAAGGTAGTTTCGATTTTGTATGAGAGCGATGTATCTCTTACGTAGTAACCTGTGACCGAGTCGACTGCCGCCTTAGACGAAATCCTTAACTCATCATCATAAGACAAGGTCACGCACTAAGACACACCATATCGATGCGGGAATAACACTTTCTTCATCGATTTTCAATTAAAATCTGAAACAAGTGTTTTACTGCAAAGAAGCCAAAATGTAATAATTAATATATTCTTAATGATAATATCCACGTTATGCCATGTCTCTAGTATGTACAAGATAGTTAAAAAGTGAAGTGCCATAGACTAACGTGACTATTATTTTTATCCCTCAGAGCGGGAGGCCTGTAAATTTATTATTGTTTTAAAAATAAAATACATGTTTGAGACAGTTATACAATAGATATTTATTATTTTTTTTTATAATAAAAAACTAATCGCGTGTGGTCTGTTGGGGTAGCTTTATAATATATTATTAGGGATGAGCAAATTTTCTTTAATACGTGAAGTTTAGATTTTAAATCTATTCCACGGTAGCCGCCCGCATTAAGGACGCAAAACTAATGCTCACGCCACACAGAGGCGGCCGCGGAAGCGTTCCGGGCGCGGGTATTTTTATATAATGTACGAGTTTATACTGCCACACTGAAACTCCTCCGCGGTCGCTTCATACTTCGTTTTCACTCCATTATATTAAATTTATTTTGACGTGTGTTCTATTTTATCAAACTGGAAATTTTTAAGTCTTTTGGGGACAGCGGCACATGAAACTCAAAAGCAGAACTGTCCCGTTCAAAGCGGAACATAAAAATAATTACATGTCTGTTACCACTACCCCCAGTTTACTTAACACTTTCAGAACGCCCAGTGTCGGACGTCGGTATAAGAGTAGATACTCTGAACCCTGAGCACAGAGCACAGGGCGACAACCATGACAACGTAACAATTACCATAAGGAACTGGTGGCTATTAGTAAAAAACGAGAAACTTAATTACAAAAACCATAAATTAGGCTTAACTCAATCAACCATGGCGTTATATAAAAGTTTTTTATGGTTATGATTCCTTATAATTCGTAATCGTGCATTAAATTGTCGCATAATACAAGCTCATTTGACAAAGTGTAAGAAATTAGTTCGTTTGCTATAATTCAATTTGCGCCATGATCTAAATTTTTAATGATTTAAAATTTTCATCTATAAACAGTATAATGAGATTAGAAATCATTTGTAAGTATTTTCTGTAATTAATTCTTGTTCTTCTTAATAGCTTCCTCTCTGCTAAGGATCGTGACTACACTTCATCCTGCCAACCATTTGCCTCCATCGGTTGCGCACAGTTGCATGATCAGGGCTCCGTCACTCGCTCAAGGTTCATATTCATATATATTTATTGCATTTCTACATGGTTTCCTTAGATTTAGAATACATTTAAGAGGGAGCATGCCAAAAAAGTTTTGACGTTGGCTCCGCCCACATATGTGAGACAAATATATGCCTGAAGTTCGCGTGACATGCGACAGGAGATGTTGAATTTTGCGCATTAAAATACCAAATTCGTTTTAGCGGAATAACTCTAAAACTAAAGGGATTAAAAAATAATCCGTAGTGACAGTTCTCGATCATGCATAAATATAATTAATTATCTAATTTTTGTCCTAATAACCTGTAGCATTTCGAGGATGAATCGAAAAAATGTGAAAATTAGAGGTCATTTCGTGATTTTTACCTATCGAGGAAACTTTATTGTTTTACGTTTCTGATTAGTGTCTATGTTTGAATATATCGTGTAGTTACTCATACAATATTTTATTTTTAACTTTAAAGTGGATATACCCCTCTAAAATCAGAGCACGTACAAATAGTTATTTAATTAATATACATTTCATGTTTATGTCAAATAATAATAATAACAAAATTACAGCTTATATAATTAAACGAAATCAAAGCCTTTTGAAAAATGTATATTGTATAGTATACGTGTACTTTTAGTTCAGTTGATATTAAAAAAAATCATTGGTATATGTAAAGTACATATTGAATACAATGGTTTTCTTGTAAAATTTCGAGAAAAGAACACTCATGTTCGTTTTTTAGGGATAGCTTTTTCACACCGTATAGGTAGTAATAAGTGTATATCCTCAATTTAACAACATATTTTTTCCAAAATAATTGATTCAACACTTTGACTGTCATGCGGAATTAACCAACGCCATTTGAGATTGTATTGACTCTTGAATTCGAATGGCCGGATTCAAATCCAAGAATCGATACTCTGAATATCTTGGAATTTATGTGTGAAATTTAATTTGAAATCTACCATGAGCTTTTCGGTGAAGGAAAACCATTGTGATGAAACCTGGACGTTGAAGAAGGTTCACAACCCTCGGAAACGTGTGAAGTTCCTTACTTGGGGTCAGTGTGGCGGATCATGGCCTAAACCCTCGTCTAAGAGGAGAACCGTGCCCGCAGTGGGACGTATGAATGGATTAATAATGATGATAAGATAAATGGATCTGGATTAATTGTTTTCAGGCACTCTATTACTCCCTTTAGGAGACGTGGCCTGTAAAAGAAATAAAAAGGGTAAAGTTGACACTTCGAGCTCAGATGAAGGTTGGTCGAATGACAAACATTACTGGGAAACAAGCGGAAGCTCGGATGATAACAGTGGCGATACCGATGTGAAGGATTTATCGTTCAGCGGAAAGCTGAGAAGACAGCTTGCTTTTGTAATTGTCACATTTATGACCTAGCTATTGAGTTTAATTCCCGCGTGTAAATGAATTTAAGTGCTTTAAATGAACCTTGAAAAACGTATCCCTTTTTCTAATTTTCATAAGAAACACTTATCTGTGGCTAAACTTGTTATTGCCTTCGCTAAAATATTGCTAATTTATATTATTTTTAGTCGTTATTCCTTCAAAGTCCAGGTGAAAACGCGATATGTTCGCCGATATCAGCGCTAATGCCTTTAGGAAAACTAGCATTAGGAGCTGAAGGGACCACTTTGAAGGAACTTCTCGCAGCTATTGGAGTCAAGAAAGTATCGGAGGTTCGTGTAGTACTAAATCTACCTGCAACGTAAACTTTCATATCCTTAACCACGGAATAAAATAAAAACAATGCATAGACCTTAACTCTCGAGTACTATCAGAACCGCTGTCGCCAAAACTCATACTGAAATTTTGATAATGATTGGTCGTAATATCTAATTTAAAAAGATGTAACAAATTCTGGACTGTTAATATAATTTAAACGTTACCCATTTGGCATTGACTTACAAATAAATGGACGACGGGTCTAATACAAAAACCACGAAAAAAATGTCCCAAGTCAACCTATTCGAAATTTAAATTGTAATGTCATCGCAGTATCGCGCTGTCAGTAGAACAAATGAAGACTAAAGCGGCATTTGGCGCTCTATATACGATTTTAGCACCTTACAAGTGCGGACACTTTTTAGCGCGGACCCGACGTCCATATAATTGTAAGTCAATGCCATTTGGCATGTCGTTGAAAGTTCATTACCTACTATTGCAACAGACGTCTTGAAATTTCATTCTGTGTGCTGCCATCTAGCGACAATAATAATAATAATAATAATAATAATAATAACAATAGCTGAAAGATGACGAAAGATTAACGCCTATTAACGTTCTCCGAAATTAAATCGACCATATAGCAGCGGTATAATGTTTACTCCGTTTCTTATAACAAAAAATCTATTACGATGAACAGATAATGGAAATGTTAATGTTATATATATAACACCACCAACGATAATATTATATAGGCGACTATCACTTTTGCACTCTAAAGTAGCAAAATAAGACATTTTTCCATGATTTTCGAGGTTTTGTGAGCGATAATTGACATAACCATAAAATACAAAGCGAAAATGGCGGATTGGGCTCAAGTATGCGAAACTCCGCGTTCTGTTGGCACCCGTGCTACACCCCATAAGTACTTCTACTGTGCCCTTAACTATAGATGTACACAATAGCTCGACACTTGTCCTGTTCTTTTCCAGGTGAAACAACAATTCAAAAAAATGATAGGTGAATTCAGAAATACCGCCGGTGCGGACATTAGCGTATGTAGTGGAGTATATGTCAACGAAAATATTAAACTCAAGAGTGAATTCCGGAACAACGTACAAAGCGTTTTTGATACAGATGTAGAGAGGGTAGACTTCAGGAACCCAAAACGTGCGGCAGATAAAATAAATGCATGGGTAAGAAAGACTATTTCCCTATAGTTAAATGACACAAGAGAACTACATATTTTTGTGCAAGAAAGTTACGTTTTTTATATAAGTATTTACCCTTAGAATAATAACGCATAGAAACCTAGCCCGCACACGCTAAGTGAGGCAAATTGAAGCGCTCCCATAGGGCCTACACGAGCGGGCGGGCCGTCAGTGCTTAAGGTCAACTTGCACCGCGAATAGCTCCAGAATTTTAGCTAAAAATGACGAAATGTGCGGTAAATGAGTGTAAAAATACGTCAGACAAACATAAAATAGATACTAACATCATATTCCACAAGGAAGTAACGCGTTTCAACTTGTATTTTTATATAAATATTCACTAAAACCGAAAATTAACGTACTACTAAAACTAGCCTGCATGAATTTAATTTTTGCCTCACTTGTGACAGTTCGTTTGATATGAAACTATCATTCTATGCGTTATTATTCTAAGTATTTACCTTTGATTAGCTTTTTTTGATATACACGCGTATTACGTTGCAGGTAATGAAGCACACAAACAACAAAATCGATCATTTATTAGACGCGACAGACATATCACCGTCTACATCTGTGATTCTGGTTAACACTGTTTACTTTTCGGTAAGAATTATAATCAGGATCTTTCAGCATTCAAGTAGCAATAGAGCTCATCGTGAAAGAGTTCGTCTTTACCTATTTCTGCCGCCAAGCAGTAATGTCAGCATTACTGTGTTCCGGTTTTGAAGAGTAAGAGTGAAGATGAAATTACAGGCACGTGGGACTTGTCAATTTATGTCTCAGGGTGACGGGTGCAGTGGCAGTGCCCCTCAGATCCTTACGATTTAAAGCTCTGAATGGTATCTACTGCAACTGTTATGGACAGGCGTGTAGCTTACGAGTACCATCGGCCGCACAACTTGTCCATCCCGTCACTTGATATTATAAAAAAAACTGGTTCTTCGTATTATGCAAGTTATACAAGTATAATATAAAAATTAATATCCTCGTACCCAATTTTTTAGTATCCGATTGCATCGTATGCATAATACCAAAATCTTTTCAGCTGCCTCCGTGGCCGAACGGTTTTCAAACTGCCACACAGAGGTCGGGGGTTCGATTTCCCAAACATTCGTATAACCTACATTATCAGGCGTGTATTTAACATAAGAACTGTTTCCAAATTTGACCGCTGCAGGGCTGCGGCTGCTACATCTTTGGGCAAGCCACAGACGCAATAACATCAACATTCGACCGTGTTCTTGATTGTTTATGCGTATTTAAAAACCTTCCGTCGACTGAACATCCCGCCAATGTGCGCTGTGATTAGTTTTCTTTGTTTAAAAGGTATGAAAACGATTGAAACTCATTGTCAGGATCTGTGACGTGTAAAAATCACAGACATAATATCTATATATTATATTTTTTGCCGCTGTTACGCTTCAGATCGCGCCCAGCCGTTAAGGTAGTTAAACGTTATCAAAAACGCGAAAACTGCCTAATTGTGTCATCAGAGTCTGCAAAAACACCATAGCTGTGAAAAGACAGGGACCTTTCCTTCCACAATTATGTAATTTTGTAATCAGAATATGCATAATTTATTTTAAAATCAATTATTTTCATCGAGAAAACAAATATACAAACGAGTGTATGCCGCGTGATTCGTAATACGTCTTTTACTTGGTGCGGTACACTTGTGGTCCTTCTTTAGTAGGCCATGAATATCGAACGAATGATACTTTCGTATAATGCATTCAGTTTCGTGGTACGGACATTTCGTCATGTTATTGGTCAAATTTTACGATTAGTGATGTTCACTAGATGCAACGCAGTTCTCGATTTTGATCGATTTAGGAAACAAAAGGGTAATGATTTCCTTACGACATTAGAAAATGTTATGAAAATATTGTACGAAGTTGTTTGCTTTTTTTTTTAGTTATCCGAAGCAACTTTTTTTTCAAAACACGTATTAATAAAGGACTTAATTATCTTCTGCCGGTAGTATTTTACTATATTAATATTTCACGGGTCTTATAATCAACAAATACTTGAAAAATCATTAGGAATGAAATATGAATGAACGAATGAAATATACTTTATTGCCCTTATAATAACAGTTAAAATACAATACAGTAATTTAGGTATAAAGATAGTGAGATAATGTGCAACAGGTGGCCTTATTGTTATATAGCAATTTCTTCCAGACAACCTTAGGATAGAAATTTGGGATATGCAAAAGGGGTGCAATCAAAAAATATCATTATAAGTATTATAATAATTATTAATAAACTCATATACGTAGATAGAAATATCCAAACAAATATGATTAATACATAAATAATAATATTAAATGCTTATATACTTTAAAAGGAAAAGGAAAAATGAAATAATAAGTATAGAAAATAGATGAAAGGATAGTGGAGAAAAAGCCAAGACTTAATTATTCTAAATACGTGCTACGTACGCGTCTTCGACTTAATCTATCGCTTTAGTGTCGAAGGAAATTTCCCATCACTAAATTGCGGTTGAGACGTTTTCGGAGGTACAACTTGCGGTGTCTATATAGATATGTCTGTGGTAGACAAAACGTTATAAGCGATAAAATGGTATGGAAATGGGATAGAGCTTCTAAAGATGACAACAGAGTGTTCATGACGAGGAACGAAGTGAGCGACCTTCTGTCATTCAGACCTCTATGACGACGAGATTCAAAAGCTAGTTGTACGATACTATAAGTGTCTTAACATTGGTGGAAATAATGTAGAAAAGCAGTGTGCATGTAATATTAAAATTATTACGAATAATAATAATTGAGGAGACCAGGAATAGAATGATCAAAGTCACTTACAGCATGATTTGAGTTAATACCGCCATCTAATTCGTTTAACGCTGAGCGTATTTTGCCTAAATCAGGAAGAAGCTAATAAAATACAATTGCTTGAAAATTAAAATACTTAATACGAAATGGTAGAAAAGTTGAATCCTCGCGTATATAACCAGAAATAGAGACGAATTAAGGGCCATCCATCCCTGGCAACTCATCAGCCGAATGGGCCTTATCACTTTTAAATATAAACTCTCGTTTGCACAGAAATTACAAATTAGACAGCTGAAATAGTACAGCACCAATAACTGACTTGTGTGTACGTCTATATATTCCAAAAATATTCTATATTTATTGTAATAAAGATAATATCTCTAACTACGGGGAACTGTTCCATTCAGTGGTGTGGGGAAAAACAGCAAAAGATCTAATTACAAAACAAACGGAATCACATTTTATCGGTAATTAAATATGTAATTTTTCAATTTTGGACCATTATAGCAAAGTTTAACTTGTAAACTGGTCGATTTGAAGTAAAACAATTGACGACACCCGTCAATTGTTTCGAATTCGGGCTGGCCAATCGAAGCGCAGTGGTCGCCGTAATGATATGGCAGAATAGTTTTCAAACAAATTAAATGACATTTCATCTCTATTTCTGGTTATGTAGGTACTCGATGAGTTGAAAAAAATTAATACTTAGGTAAAATTGATTACATAGGTTTAACAATATTATATCAACATTGACTTTATATCAGGTAGCAATTTAGCATGTTTTTTTTCACCAACATGTAATTTTTCCTAGTTCTCCTCAAGTGACTTTTATCATCGTTTTCCTGGATTCTTCAATTGTATCTAAAGATGATTGACTTGTCTTTTTTTTATTTCATAACGGTACTTACTTAAAAAGCAACGTATTTCTCTCATGAGTTTGGATGTAATTTGTGGTTGTCTATGTGTGTGTCCTTGGCACTCGCAATACGGGGTTTCCCTAGTGCGCATCATGTCATATAAGTCTTGAAATAATTTTAGGCCAAATGGTTGTATCCATTCGATAACGCAAAAGATCGCTCTTTTTATGGCACAAACGGGGAGGAGGATATACCTATGATGAACTGTGAGAATAATTTCAAATATTACGACAGTTCATCACTAAACGCAGAGGTAAGTATTATTCGAGTAGGTTAAACCATGTTTTGAAGTAAAGACATCGAGTATATAACCAGAGATAGAGACGAAATAAGGACCATATATTCCTGGTAACACATTAGCGATACAGCTCTTATAAATATCAACTCTCGTTTGCACTAAAATATAGACAGGCCAGCTACTGACCTGTGTATACGTCTCAGTATATTACAAAAAATATTATGTATTTATTGTAATAAAGATAATATCTCTAACAATGCCGTGCTGTTCTATGCTATGGGAAAAACAAAAAATATCTAATTACAAAACAAACGGAATCACATTTCATCGGTAATTAAATATTAAATATGTAATTTTGCAATTGTAGTCAATTATAGCAAAACTCAAGTTAACTGGACGATTTGAAGTGAAACAGTTGACGACACCCGTCAATTGTTTCGAACTCGGGCTAGCCTATCGGAGCGCAGTTGTCGCAGAACTATATGGCAGAATAGTTTTCAAACAAATTAAATGACATTTCGTCTCTATTTCTGGTTATATACTCGATGAGTAAAGCGTTGTAAAAATTTGAAATTGACGAATTACCATCTTTTTTACTATTTTTATTTTGGTTAATATTAAAAACCACCGTATCACACATACCAAAAATTACAATGATGCTTATGATACAATATCATCCATCTCAAATCAATATGAAGAATATTTGAGCTACTATTGTATAGTACATAGTGTCTTGATGAGCGTCTTTTATTTTCAGGTAGTGGCAATCCCATACAAGGGTAACAGTAAACTATCATTCGTTATAGTTCTTCCCAAATCGAAATCCTCAACGTCTTTGACGCTGCTCTTGAAGGGGCTCAAAACGGCTCCTGACCTACTCAAGGACGCAATGAAGAAAATGAAGTCCCAATCATTGGTTCTGTCGATACCGAAGTTTAAAATTGAAAAAAGATTTGACCTCAGTGTTCAATACAGAAACGTAAGTCAATTTGCTTTGTGTCCAATACTTAAAAATATGAACCAAGTTCTTCGCTGAATAAAACAAAAATAGAACTTATGCTAGTGTTGAACACGGTGAGATCCAATTGGTTGCATACACATGGGATTGGTGACCTAATAAAAATAAAGATAATCAATGGCATGTTCAGCGGGTAGAAACTTATAGAATCAGCTCAAAATAGAAATAAGAACCTGTGTAAATTTCTGAATATGTTTACAGATTGGCCTAAATTCAATGTTTCATAAAGGTTTGACAAAAATTGCCGAGGGTCAAGATTTATTCGTATCAAGGGCAATACAGTCTGCGTTGATAAACGTCCACGAGTTTGGGACGACAGCGGCTGCTGCTTCCGGTAAAGTCTTATTTTACATGGCTAATTTTACTTCCTCTGGTTTCCACGGTGAAAACAAAATGCTACTATTTTCGTTTTAAACTGGGAGATCTATATTAACCCGTATTTGTACGTCCGCTGCTGTGCACTAATCTCCTCAATTAGAAGGCCATAACTCATCATGAAAGCACAATGCTGATCGAAAACTTTTAAATACTTTCAAGCGTTTTAAGAGATTTCTTCGGATATGCAGATTTCGTCTTTTGTACTGTACACTCCTAAATCAAGTAGTAATTAGGAAATAACTTAGTAGTACCTTCGTTATACCACTTAAAAAAACCCAGCATTTCAGCAGCAGAAACTTTAACCTTCCCAAGTTTTCGGGACCCGTCATTCAGTATCCTCAAAAACCTTGATTTCATTTTGAGTAAATTTTTCGATGTGAACTAATAGGACGAGATCCAGAGTTAACCAGGCTTTCAAGGTACATGATTCTGCTTATTTAATTCTTTACTGACCTTTACACTTATTTATACGGTAAATTAATTCAAATGTTTAATTGTTTTCTTTTCAGTTGTAATGAATTTTGGAGCAAGTGCACCAAGTAAAAAGAAAAAAGTAGTGGCAGATCATCCGTTCCTTTTCACAATTGTGGTGAAAAATCAACAGCTGTTTACGGGGATCTTTACTAGTTCTTCAACGGGAAGCTCACCCTGGGGCTCTTAAATATCATCCACACAAGCAGCCGTATCCGTATTAACAGCAGACATTTTTGAAGACGAACGATTGTTGTCAGCTTTCGAATTTTAATTGTTCAAACATGTTGTAAACATAATTTGAAAAAATTAAGGTATTAATCACAGTATTCTCGTGTTGAAATATTGAAATAACCCTTGTCAAATATAGTAGTAATAATATGTGTTTATTTATTTACAATAAATTACATACTGCTAACAGATCAATATCCAAACGCAATTGTAATCTTACTGCTAAGTGGATTACAATAAATCAAACAAATTAAATTAAAATCAATTAAATACAAAAAAAAAGCAATTAAATACATTGTGAGCACATTATTATTATACCATTACTGCAATATTATTATTACTATAAGAATGGAATATTTAAGTCACTTAATACAGCTATCTCTAGTCAAAGTCTCGCGGAAACTACGAATTTAAGTTCCGAGCATGTAAATATGTCCAACGATGAGTCAAAGAGAAGCATTTGGTTAAGACATTTAAAGCGCTCTTGGCAGGTGCTAACTTACTTCCTTAGATCGTGTAGCACGTATTGCAGATAACCTTTTTCTGTGAGTTCGCACCAAATTAAACCTAGGCACCAAAAAACCGATCATCTATATACCTGGTACGCGAATAGGAATCCCGATTATGGATGGAGTATGATCATCAAATAGAAATGAAATGCTGAACAATTCTGAATTTAAAGCACTTTTGTTCAAATAACGTTTTGATTTTATATATTTATAGTTGAAATTTCAACCAATGTGCTGCCATCTGGTGGTTAATAGCTGAACAATGATGAATTTGAGATGTTTACTTAGTTAAAAAAGCGGCGACCATATTGCAGCCGCATAAAGTTCGTTTTCGTTCTTGTAACAAAAAAGAATATTACGATAAACAGAAAATTGAATAGAATAGAATAGAATGGAATAGAATCGTTTATTTCATGTTATCAATGTCACAATATTGCACTTGGAAATACAATGTCAAGGGATAACTATGATCGTCAGTAATAAAATTATAATAATAATAATGAATATAAAATAAAGTAGTATAACTACTGCTTGTCGAATAAAATAAAATTAAAATTGTTTCAAAAGAAACTCATCGACACTGTACAATTCAATATCCAATAAAAGGTTTTTTAGTCGGGTACAAAACGTTGCATCGTTTCTAACACTTTTCAGGTCTGTGGGTAGATGTTCGTAGAATCGGGGACCTATTACCCGCGGATTTCTAGTTGCAAGTTCGGTACGGTGGGCAACGGATTTTAGTGTTCCCGCGTTTCGTAACGCTCGGCCTCCGCCCGTACGTCGCTCGTAAGTAGCCAAGTTTTGACGCGCATAAACTATTATATCATAAATATATTGTGAGTACATGGTCATTATATTGTATTCATATTTTATTTATTATATTATTATATATATTATATTATATTTATATTGTAATATATAAAAATTCAATAAAATAAGACTTGACTATAACGTGAAACACCACCATAGATAATATTGCGATTATCATTTTTGCACTTCAAAGTTTGCTACTTTACTAATAAGGCATTTTTCTACGATTCTCTAGGATTTACGCGAGATAATTAATTGACACGACTATAACGTACAAAACGAAAATAGCAGACAGAGCTTAAGTATTACGCATTTACGCGTATTGTTGGCACACCTGTCACGCAATCTAAGCACTTCTACGTGCTTCTACCTACTGTATTTTTTGTTCTGTAGTGTAAACATATTAACCGCACTGCTAAGTTTCTGTGGAGCTATTCATTTAGTCTTATTATACTATGCTATAACTACATTGTGATGACTTTTTGAACTAATATATAGACATAGACGGCACTCGAGTTTGAAAACAAATTAACATCTATAAATTCATCTGTTTATCCTTAAGTAGCCTGTATATTTTTCGCAGCAGTAAAGCTTCTGAGCCGTACCGCAGCAATCTGAGCATTACTGCGTTTCGGTTTTGAAAGGCACTGGTGAAATTACAAGCACAATGGACTCTTCAATTTATATCTCAGGGTGCAGTAGTTGTGCCCTCAAGTCTTTGCAATTTAAAACTCCAAAAAAAATTACTTGATAATCGAAACTAGATGAGACGTTCGTTTTCTTCATAACAATAAAATACTCGTGGCTACGATATTTAACGTGTACCGTTATCACTGTCGTTATTATCAACAGTCCGACTGCGCTTCCTGCAGGGCAAAACCTCCCATAGATTATGCCAGCACACGTATCGTCAAACAAAATTAATAACGGAATAATTGAACCTGTACGGCCTAGGACGGCTTATTGGCGTTAAATCGCAAAGATATGCTCAGACTGAGTCCACTCGGATGACTAATACGACGTGTGAACACGTGACACCGGCATCCAATCAACAAGTTCCGAGTAGCGTCCCTGTTGTCGTCCGAGTGGACTGGGTTCGAACGTACTTAGTCTCTAGGTGCATAAGTTGACAAGTTCCATGTGCCTGTAATTTCAACCTTCAAAACCGTGAGATCCTGACAAATTTGGTATCAAAAAAAGTACCTAATTTATACTATTTAGTACCTCTGTTTAAAAAATTTGTACCTTCATCAGAACGAATTTTAGCAATATCAAAGCTTAGAATAATAACGCATAGAAACCTAGTTCGCACACGCTAAGTGAGGCAAACTGAAGCGCGCCAGAAGGGCCTACACGAGCGGGCGGGCCTTCAGTGCTCAAGGTCAACTTGCACCGCGAACAGATCAAGAATTTTAGCTAAAAATGACGAAATGTGTGGTAAATGAGTGTAAAAATACGTCAGACAAACATAAAATAGATACTAACATCACATTCCACAAGGAAGTAACGCGTTTCAACTTGTGTTTTTATATAAATATTCACTGAAACCGAAAATTAACCTAGTACTAAAACTAGCCTACATGAATTTGATTTTTGCCTCACTTGTGACAGTTCGTTTGATATGAAACCCTTAGAATAATAACGCATAGAATGATAGTTTCATATCAAACGAACTGTCACAAGTGAGGCAAAAACCAAATTCATGTAGGCGTAAGCAACTTGTAACTACGCTCGTCGGCACGCACACAAATATACAAATAATGATGCCATGGAATAACATTTCCCTCAAAAGTGGGGAAATTGTATCTTGCTTAACTCATCATTAAGTTAAAGGTGCCTACAGATTTGCCCGACATTGTCGATCAGGTGCCTACAGATGTGCTCGGTTTTGTCGATGAAAAACGAATATAGCACTTATTTGTAAATCCAAGATGGCGGACACGATTTTTCAAAATATGCTATATGGGTATCCTTTTCGAGGTATTTGGGGATGCTCATTACGAATATGGCACTCATTTCTAAATCCAAGATGGCGGACACGAGTTTTGAAATAAATGCAATATGGGTATCATTTTCGAGGTACTTGGGGATGCTCATGACGAATATGGCACTCATTTCTACATCCAAGATGGCGGACACGATTTTTCAAAAAAATGCAATATGGGTATCATTTTCGAGGTACTTGGGGGTGCTCATTACGAATGTGGCACTCATTTCTAAATCCAAGATGGC